AACAGAGAACAATCTGGGAGAAAGAGTGGATTGACGGGAGATTAGGATAGCAATATATTTAGGTGCAATATGACGTTCCTCCCTTTCCTTCTGGAACATCTTTGACATACACAGGACTCTGGCCATCAGAAAGCTTGGCTCCTCTGCTTTTAAAAGCAAATTCATCTTGATTGAGTCTGGCCATCTAAATTCTGGTTGGACTTTCCTAGTAAGTAGAAATGGTCAACTGTCTCCCAGAAAAAAAAAATTGTCTTGTTATCTAAGAAAAAGTGTACTCCATTCATGGGACTGGGTTGAGGGCATTGTTCCTGTTTTAAGAGTACCTGAGTATGCCAGGCCGGTGTGGCTGAATACTCAAGTGGATTGAGCATCATCCCCAGTTCAATTCCTGGTCAGAGCACATGCCTGGGTTGCAGGCTCTATCCCCAGTGGGGGCATGTGGGAGACAGCCGATAGATGTTTCTCTCTCATCGATGTTTCTCTCTCTCTCTCTCTCTCTCTCTCTCTCTCTCTCTCTCTCTCTCTCCCTTTTCCTCTCTCTCTCTAAAATCAGTTTTAAAAAAACATACTAAAAATTAACGAAATACTTTGAGTAATTATTTGTTCGCCATCGCTGCATGAATACATGTTTGCCTGTTTCTTTTCCTACAAGGGAAGCCTTGGCAGAGACTATGCTGCTGCCTTTGAGAATGAGCGTTCCTGTGTCTTTGTTGTCCTGTAACTCCATTGGACCTTGGTCCATAGGAAAATCAGTTTTAAAAAAACATACTAAAAATTAACGAAATACTTTGAGTAATTATTTGTTCGCCATCGCTGCATGAATACATGTTTGCCTGTTTCTTTTCCTACAAGGGAAGCCTTGGCAGAGACTATGCTGCTGCCTTTGAGAATGAGCGTTCCTGTGTCTTTGTTGTCCTGTAACTCCATTGGACCTTGGTCCATAGGATTCATGGACTCCATAAATATTTCGAAAATATAAATTAGAGGTGTCCAAGCCATCATTTTACATTTCCTTATTATTAGTGCCTCAGCTCCACTGAATACACACACAGAGAGGGTTCCTTTTCCCTTGCTCCCCTCATCCTTTGTTCTCCAAGGGGGTAAGAGGTGGGGGTTGAGGTAATGAGGGTGCAGGTCCAGGCTGGTCTGTGAAACCTGACCCAGAGTAAATTTGGTTATTAAACTCATCTTCTTAAATGCCCTAAGTTAAGCTATTTGATGTTAGCTGCTGGGAACACAATGCTGCCAATCAGACAAGCAGGAGCCTGCCTGTCCTCTCAAATATTTTACAATTAGAGTGAGGTATGTCTCATAGCTTTCAAGGTTGCCAATTTCCTTAAATGCACATCCAATTAAAACTCATTCAAACACTTCTACTAATAAGTAAAAGAAGTCTTGGGATGAAGTAGCCCTTTCCACTCATCCCAAGAGATGTCCTGCTAAATAAATGTTCCCATGATCAGATACGTTTGAGAGACACCATTGCTTCTCTTCCCTATTAGAGATTCATTCAAGGCCAGGAGAATAAAAGCCCTATTGCATGGAAGCCTGTTCAGGTTGGTTTACCTGGAGTTAACTAAACTTAACTGATTGTGGGGCCTACTTTTTTAGGGAGCACTTACAAACCACTTACGGATTATTGTTCTCTGAACTTATTTGGAACATGCTGATTTTAAATATTATGCTTCTAGTCTCCATTAAGTTTTTAGTTGTACAATTTTTGGAAGAACATCAAGGCTAGGCAAGTATTTAAGGTTGCTTGTGACATATACAATTTGTGAAAATGATCAACTTCTGATATTTAGCCCTTTATTCATACTTGACCCCAATAATGTTAAAGTGTCAATGTTTTAATAATTTCACAATCCTTGAAACTAGTAAAAGAAATGAACTAGGCTGATTTTAGAAATCGGAATTTGCTAATTATATTTCTGTTGAAGATGTTTAATTCCAGCATTCCATAGAACAGAGCCATTTTTATTTTTATTTTTTAATAATTCGTTATTGTTGAAAGTATTACATATATCCCCTAGTTTCCCCCATTGATCCCTTTGAGCCCACCCCACCCCCACCCCCACCCAGGCCTTTAGAACCCTATTGTCTGTGTCTATGGGTTATGCATATATGCATACAAGGTCTTTGATTGAGTACCTCCCACCCACCCACTCTCCCTCGGAGATTCCGCACTAACAGGGCCATTTTAGATTTCGAGTCCACTGAAGTCTAAACTGAGTTAACCTGAAACTAACTTGCATGCCTTCAGTCAGTGAGTCAATCAGCACTTAAATCATCAATAATTACTTTAAAAAAATAATATTTTTATTGATTTCAGAGAGGAAGGGAGAGGGAGAAATAGAAACATCAATGATGAGAGAGAATCGTTGATCAGCTGCCTCCTGCACGCCCCACACTGGGGATCAAGCCTGCAACCCAAGCATGTGCCCTGACCAGGAATCCAACCATGACCTCCTGGTTCGTAGGTCGATGCTCACCACTGAGCATGCTGGCCAGTCATCAAAATAAATATTTTTTGAGGACCTAGTAGCCATGAACTAAGGCTCTAGGATACAGAATTGAAAACTACAAACACTCCTTATTCTCAAATGCTCTTAGCACAGAGTGGGATACTAACCTTAAGGAAGTAATAACAGTAGACAGAAAAGCATAAGAGCTATGAGAATAAATATCAGGAAACTTCTACCTATTCAGCTCTAAGTTCAAATCTCCATAAACTAGAAAGGATATAAAGGAGGGGCCCACATTTCATCCAAAAATGACAATATCCATATTCTATAAGGAGAGACACATCCCAGATAGTTGTTTGTAACATTTTCAATAATAAAATCAATGGCCCAAATGTGAAATTAATTGGAAGCCACAATTCTATTGCACTGTTTTAGCGATTAAGCCCATTAGATCGAATTGTTTCTGAATGCCTCATTATTGTGTCTGCCACACTCGTCTCTTCGAGTCACTCCTAACTTTTGGACTGCTGCCTGGATCGTCTCTGCAATACGGTTGCAGTTGAGTATAAGCTCAAAGCGCTCAGTTGCATTTTTTGCAAATTCTAGATAAGAGCTAAAGAGTTTGTTCAAGTGTCGATTCCCTCGAGTTTGGGTGACAGTTGATATTTTATTGGTGTTTTTCAGGTCCATGATTTAAAAGTGCCTGTGGGAAGTCACTTTGGCTGGAAACTGCAGCCAGGGAGCTCCTGTGTTTTCAAGTCTTGTTTTCCTGTCCAATACACGTTACGTCGACCTTACAAGTGGATGAAGATACCTCAGTTGTCTGACTTTACCGACTACTTGTTTTCCGAGTTTATAAAGGTGGGAGGAAACAGAAATCCTGCTAAGAGCTGAACATCTAAGTGGCTTCTTCTCCAGCACCACCGATAGCTGTGAGCTTCGAACTGGATATATTCTCCCAAGGAGTGCTGTGATATTGAAGTTCCTCATTAAAAACAGTGTGTCTGCAACACAATCAGGAGACTGGGACACTGACAGCCAGAGATGACACCTAGCATGCTTTTGTTTCGGCCTGCAGTCTTCAGGTGGGGCACATTGATTGATGAGTGACTGCTTGCCAATACGTTCTCTTCTCACTCTGTTCCTTGGATTGGACTTCATTAAGCAATTTATCACTTAACCTTCAGGCTTACATGTGGGGTTTTTCACAATAGTTTTGCATCATTGGAACTTGGGTTGATTTAATCACTTAACAGAAAGGAACAGAATCCAAATTACTTGATTGCCATGGCTTTGAATGTTGCCCCAGTCAGAGACACTAAATGGCTGACGTTAGAAGTCTGCAGACAGTTCCAGCGAGGAACCTGCTCACGCTCCGACGAGGAGTGCAAATTTGCTCACCCCCCCAAAAGTTGCCAGGTTGAAAATGGAAGAGTAATCGCCTGCTTTGATTCCCTAAAGGTAAGACAGTGCGTTGAATGTCATAGCAACGCCACATTGAACTTTCAAATGAAACGTTTTTCATTGTACTTTTACAGAAGTTGAACAATTGTTTTTAGATTCTGTTTTCTTATTTGTGGTAACTATTGGGAGATTTTCATTCATTTTTTTCATATCAGGCATATATAAATTTTTTACAGATCCATGTTTAATTTAAAAATACATGATGCTATGTTTTTGGTATGGCATGACATTCATGTACCCGAGTTTTAAATCAGTCTGGCTTGTGACAACTAAAGATAAATATTTTATTAATGTTTGATCTTCTGGAGGTTATATACAGGTGAAGAAATTGAATGTGTCACTTATGTGTGCTAGTTATCTGATTCACCTCTTGAAGAATTTTCTACTTCTGTGGCTTTCTTTTTTTTTTATTGATTAAGGTATTACATATGT